AATTTAGGCATTGGAAGAAAAGTGAAAAACAAACGCATTTTGAGTTTGTACGCGATCTCTCACTTTATTTTAATCGCTGGTGTGTAGCTTCTGATGTAAAAACACTGGACGATTTAAAAGAGTTAATGGTGCTTGAACAATTTAAAAACTCAGTTTCAGATTGTGTAGCAACTTATGTAAGTGAACGTAAACCGCTCACTGCATATGAGGCAGCTGTTATGGCTAATGACTTCTTTCTGATTCATAAGACCTCTTTTGGTTCTAAAACATATGGAGAAAATCCTCAAAAAGAACCCTGGCGTAAATCCGTTCACTCTGCCAAATTGTCACGTGATCCACTTGGCGGACAACATGGCTCTGGTGGGGAAAAAGAGAGAGCAAATACGTGTAATTATTGTCATGTCTTTGGTCATTGGAAGAACGAATGTCCATTGTTAAAAACAAAAGACATGTTGAATGTGAAGTCTAAAAATTTTTCCCCTGCAAAATCTGTTGCTTTGACCGTAAATGCCCAGACATCACATGATGGTCTGAAAAGTTGCACATCTGTTTTTTCAGCGTTTACTCCCTTTGTTACAGAAGGTACTGTCAGATTGGTTAATTCTGTAAAGGATGTACCTGTTAAAATCCTTCGGGATACAGGATCATCAGAAACCTTTGTTTTGGAGTCCGTGTTGCCTTTTTCCACTGATTCCTATACTGGAAGTAATGTGCTGATTAAGGGCATTGGTTTAAATGTTATGTCTGTTCCGCTTCACAAACTTGTTTTGCAATCTGATTTGATCCAGGGAAAAGTGGAAGTTGCTGTACGTTCCGGTTTGCCTATGGAAGGAGTACAGGTAATCTTAGGAAATAACTTGGCTGGTGAACGAGCTTGGCGAGGTGATTTACCACAGTTGGTGGTTACATCCTCTCCGATGGCCTTTGAATCAGACAGTGATGAAAACTCTTTAAATGCATTGCCGTCGTGTGTGATAACTCGATCTATGAGTAAAACGCCAGTTGATAAGCCTGATTCTAAAAAAGTGGTGAGTAAAACTCTAGAAATTCCGTCCATTTTGTCTGTGTCACGAGATGATTTGATAAAGGAACAAAAAGCTGATTCTACTCTTGAGTTGTTTGGTCGAATGGTCCCTTATGACACAATTTACAATCTTTCTTCTGGGTATTACCTGGAGGAAGGGTTGTTGGTTCGAAAGTGGGTTCCGCATGGAGAGTTTGCAATTGGTGATCCTGTTGTACAGATTGTAATACCATTGTCTCTCCGTCAACTTGTATTACAGACCGCACATAATACATCTGGCCATATGGGGGTGAAAAAGACGTATAAGTTACTCCTGAAACATTTCTTTTGGCCAAAATTGAAGCGTGACGTGTCTAAGTACATTAAATCCTGTCATACCTGTCAACTTACGGGAAAGCCAAATCAGTCTCTGAAACCTGCTCCTCTTTATCCTATTCCAGCTATTAGCCAACCGTTTGAGCGTCTTATTGTGGACTGTGTTGGGCCGTTGCCCCGGTCAAAAGCAGGTAATGAGTATTTGCTCACAGTCATGCGCCAGGTAACTAGATATCCAGCAGCATACCCATTACGTTCAGTAACGGCGAAGTTAGTTGTAAAAGCACTAACTCAGTTTATTTCTGTATTTGGAATACCAAAAATTATCCAGTCTGACCAGGGGAGTAATTTTACTTCTAATTTGTTTGATCAAGTGTTGAAACAACTTCACATCCAACACAACCTCTCCAGTGCTTATCATGCTCAGAGTCAGGGAGCACTGGAGAGGTTTCATCAAACGTTAAAGTCTTTACTGAGGTCATATTGTACTGAGATGGGGAAGGATTGGGACGTTGGTTTACCTTGGTTATTGATGGCAGCTCGGGAAGCTGCACAGGAGAGTACCAGGTTTAGTCCAAATGATCTTGTTTTTGGACACGATGTGCGAGGCCCGTTGTCTGTTTTGGCTGCTGACTGGGAAAAGTCAGATCCACCAAAGAAATCTCCTGTCATATGTTAGTGATTTTCGCCGTCGAAACTTTGAGGCTTGTCAGTTGGCAAAATTATCTCTGTAAAGCTCAGGATCGAATTAAACGACTTTTTGATCGATGCACAGAGTTGTGGTCTTTTCAATCAGGTGACCAAGTGCTGGCCTTGTTGCCTGTTGTTGGATCACCGTTTCAGGCTAAATTTGTGGGACCGTATACGGTTGCTCGTCAGATTTCTGATCTTAATTATTTGATCAATATGCCAGATCGAAGGAAAAAAACTACAGTTTGTCACGTAAATTTGTTAAAGCCTTATTATACTTCACATGTCATTGACCCTGTAACAACTGACCTAGGTAATTTGTCTGACTCGTGTATTAAACCTGTTCTTCTTACAGATTCTAGTACTAATAATGACACCGTTGATTTAGTGCCGGTTATGGTAAGTGAGGAGAGAGATGAAATCTATCCTGGAGATTTTGTTCTTCAGGCTCGGTTACAAAATTCTGAAGTGTTGAGTTCTTTGGACGACCGGCTGAACCATCTATCGGATGCACAGCGTATTGACCTGATTAATTTAATTTCTGAGTACGTTTCACTGTTTCCTGATGCTCCTACTTGTACAAATCTAATAGAGCACGACATTGATGTGGGAGATTCAGTTCCTATTCGTCAGCGTTACTATCGGGTGTCCGTGAATAAGAAAAAACATCTGGACGATGAAATTGAGTATATGTTGAAAAATAACATTGCTGAACCTTCTTTTTCTAGTTGGGGTTCTCCGTCTTTGTTGGTGAGTAAACCGTATGGGTCGTTTAGATTCTGCACTGATTACCGAAAGGTAAATGCTGTAACGAAACCGGATTCTTTTCCGCTGCCTCGAATCGAAGACTGTATTGATCTAGTAGGTAATGCTAAATTTGTGAGCAAGTTTGACCTACTGAAAGGTTACTGGCAAGTGCCTTTAACCGTCAGGGCTCGGGAGATTTCTGCTTTCATTACGCCTTCCGGTTTATTTTCTTACAAAGTTATGCGTTTCGGATTGTGCAACGCCCCCACTACTTTTCAGCGCTTAATGAACCACGTAATATCGGGTTTGAGTGGCTGCGCTGTTTATCTAGATGATGTTGTTTTTAGTCAAACTTGGGAAGAACACGTACTTCGGATTAGAGCACTTTTTGATCGTTTTCTGAGGGCAAACTTGACAGTTAAGTTGTTAAAATGTGAGTTCGCCAGGGCCACAGTTACTTATCTGGGAAAGGTAGTTGGCCAGGGTCAAGTGCGCCCCGTCCGCGCTAAGGTAGAGGCAATAGATAATTACCCTACTCCCGCAACAAATAAAGAGTTAATGCAATTTCTGGGAATGGTAGGGTTTTATCGTTGTTTTTGCAGGAATTTTTCTATTGTAGCGGTGCCCCTGACAAATTTGTTGTGGGGAGGAATACATTTTTGCTGGACCCCATTGTGTCAGCAAGCATTTGAAAAAATAAAAATGCTTCTTACAGAGGCTCCCGTTTTGGCAGCTCCAAGATTTGATCAGTCTTTCCAATTGCAGGTGGATGCCAGTAACATGGGTGTTGGGGCCGTTTTACTGCAGGGCTCTGAGGATGGCATTGATCACCCAATTGGGTTCTTCTCTAGAAAGTTTAATAAGTACCAGCTTAATTATTCTGTGATAGAGAAGGAGGCTCTCGCTTTAATTTGGGCTTTACAGCACTTCGAGGTGTATGTGGGATCATCGGAGGGACCTCTAGTGGTCTATACAGATCACAATCCTTTAATTTTTCTGCACTCTTTACAAAACCCCAACCAAAGGCTAATGAGATGGTGTGTGTTTTTACAGGGTTACCTGTTGGATATACGCCATATTAAAGGCTCAGAAAATGTAACCGCTGATGCCTTGTCTCGTATTCACATAGTCTAAGTGTTGTAGAACTCGTATTTTCTCTCTTTTCCCTTCCTTAATTTTGCTTCCTAGGCGCCAAGGTTGCTGGAAGGAGTTGCGGAGTTGAAAACGCTGAGGAACATTTGCTAGCTGAATCAAGTCTGCCACTTGGACTGTTTGGATTTTGGTAGAGTTTTTTTTTATTCAAAGGTTTTTTTTGTGCTCTTCTTTTTAGGGGGGGGGAGTGTGATGAGTCTCCCGCTCTTCCTGCTACGGCCGGCCAGTGGGTGTGTCTAGGACACTCATCAAGAGAACGATGTCCACTTGTTATTCCTGCTATAAGAGTCGTGGCTTTGTTGGTGTGGGGATGGCCTGGTTTGCTCCCGATTGCTTTGTGTTTGTTTTTGGTTTTGGAATGTTTATTTGGATTTTGTTAGGAGTTGTGAGATTTGTTCAGTCTGACTTTATAACATCTGTGTCAAACAGAAATGGCAGTTCTTTTTCCTTTTCTTTTGTTAATAAATAATTTGTTGCAACCTTACCAACCGCATGTCCTCCTTTCATTTGTTACGGCTTTGAGCCGGTCGTGACATGAGTGAAATCAAGAAAATATAAACATAATACAAATGTATGGTTACTCTTTTGATGCAACAGTTTGTATTTGACGATCCTTCATGTTGTTGATCAAACATATTTTATAGTTCTCCCTATAGAAACATGAGGTTTGTGCCTATAATAGTTTCAAAGTAATAATTTGAAGATCAGTATCTCATTCACGGAAAGATTCAGGGACGTATAATTTATAAAATTGCATCAAAAGGATAAAAATTTTGTAATGCAATTGTCTACTTTCTGCTGTTATATCAGGGTTCATCTTTATGCCCTTTCACTTTATTATGTCCTTTCACTTTTCAGTTTTTTTTTAAAGAGTTACTGACAAATGAACTGTTTTTACTTTTATTTCAGAGTTGATTGAAGACAATGAGGAGAAAGAAGAATTCTGAGGAGAAAAATCATGTCAGAAGTGTAGAAAAACCCAAACAGAAAGATTTAAGGAAAAAAAGGGCAAAGAAATCTTTCACCTGCACTCAGTGTGGAAAGAGTTTCACATACAAACATATTCTTGAGCTTCACATAAACATTCATACTGGAGAAAAACCGTTCACTTGTGATCAATGTGGGAAGAGTTTCTCACAATCAGCAAACCTTAAGGATCACATGGACATCCACACTGGAGAGAAGCGGCACACATGTGATCAATGCGGGAAAACATTTTTGTGGGCTTCAAACCTGAGCACACACCTGAAAGTTCATACAAAGGAGAAACCACATTCATGTCATTTGTGTGGAAAGAGTTTTTCCCGTCTACAAAGTTTGAAAAGACATCAGAAAATACATACTGGTGTGAGAGAGTACATGTGCATTGAGTGTGGGAAGACTTTTACTTCAGCGGGCGGTTTAAAAAAGCACCAGAGGATTCACACTGGAGAAAAACCTTACAAGTGTTCACACTGTGACAAGAGATTCATTCAGTCAGGAACACTGAAAAGACATGAGATGATCCACACTGGAGAGAAACCGTACGCATGTGATCAGTGCGGCAAAACATTTTTGAGAGATTCACACCTGAAACAGCACCTGGTAGTTCATACAAAGGAGAAGCCACATTCATGTCATTTGTATGGAAATAGGTTTTCACATCGACAAAGTTTGAAAGAACATGAGAAAATACATACTGGTGTGAGAGAGTACATGTGCTTTGAGTGTGAAAAGACTTTTACTTCAGCAAAGTGTTTAAAACTGCACCAGCGGATTCACACTGGAGAGAAACCTTACAAGTGTTCACACTGTGAAAAGAGATTCAGGCTGTCAGCACATCTGAAAACACATGAGATGATCCACACTGGAGATAAACCGCACACATGTGATCAATGCGGGAAGAGATTCACACTAAAAGCAAACCTTACAGACCATATGAGAGTTCATACTGGAGAGAAACCATTCACTTGTGATCAGTGCGGAAAGAGTTTCTCATACTCATCAGCCCTTAAGGTACACATGGACATTCACACTGGAGAGAAACCGTACACATGTGATCAATGTGACAAAACATTTTTGAGAGCTCCATACCTGAAGCATACAAAGGAGAAGCCACGTTCATCTCATTTGTGTGGAAAGTGTTTTTCGCGTCCAGAACATGTAAAAGTGCATCAGAAAGTACATACTGGTGTGAGAGAGTACATGTGCTTTGAGTGTGAAAAGACTTTACTTCAGCGAGCAGTTTAAAACAGCATGAGAGGATTCACACTGGAGAGAAACCTTTTAAGTGTTCACACTGTGACGAGAGATTCAGTCAGTCAGGAAATCTGAAAAAACATGAGAGGATACACACTGGAGAGAAACCGCACACATGTGATCAGTGCGGGAAGAGTTTTGCAATAAAAGGAAGCCTTACGGACCATATGAGAGTTCATTCTGGAGAGAAACCATTCACTTGTGATCAGTGCGGAAAGAGTTTCACACACTCATCGACCCTTAAGGTACACATGAACATCCACACTAGAGAAAAACCGTACACATGTGATCAATGCGGGCAAAACGTTTTTGAGAGATTCAGTCCTGAAACGGCACCTGGTAGTTCATACAAAGGAGAAGCCACATTCACATCATTTGTGTGGAAATAGGTTTTCACATCGACAAAGTTTGAAAGAACATGAGAAAATACATACATGTGCTTTGAGTGTGAAAAGACTTTTACTTAAGCAAAGTATTTAAAACTGCACCAGCGGATTCACACTGGAGAGAAACCTTTTAAGTGTTCACACTGTGACGAGAGATTCAGTCTGTCAGCAAATCTGAAAACACATGAGAGAATCTACACTAGATAGAAACTGTATCACTGCACTGCATGTGGGAAGCGTTTCAATCATTCATCTTCTCTACACAGTTATACAAAAAACTAGCACAGTAAGTAGATCATCTTCAGATCTGATGCTGTATCCTCACCAAATGTGACACAATAATGTATCAAGCAATAAAATATCATCTGGATAAATCTGTCATTACAAGTGATGTCACGGTCACGGTGTGTGGAGGCAGGCTGGATGACGAGGATGACAAGGATTCCAAAAAAATTATATTTAATGTAGACACAACAAGGCAGATTCAGGCAGGTGAGACAGACACACTCAGGGTAACATTCACAATAACCGACAACTCAGGTTCAGACAGACAGGAACTAATATAGGGTGGATAACGAGGGGCAGACAGGTGAGCACAATGAGGTGATTAACTAATGATTAGTCCGGGCTAAACCAACAAAAGGGGAAGAAACCACAATAAACAGTCCACAGGGGCATTACATTACTCCCCCCTCCCGGAAGGTGCGTCCTCGCACCGTAGAAACAGAGGGAGGGGCGGAGGGGAAAACTGAGGATTCCGAGGTCTCTCCTCCTCGTTTTGATACTGCCTTCCCTCCACATTCTGGCCCTTATGTCCCTCCATAGTTATCTCACCCTCAGCCATGATGCAGGGGGCGGAGCTCCTCTCCGCGCTCACACCGTGGGCTCAGGGTCCTGAGTGGGGCTGGTGTTGTTGTCAGCGATGTCCACGGTCAGATGAGACTTGCAGGACACCAGCACCCACTCGATGAAGGTGGCGAGGCTCTCTCGGGGACCATCCCCAGACAACTGCGCTCGTGTGGTGGCGTTGAGTCCAACTTGATAGAATGTACAGAGGCAGTTGTCCGGGTAGTGCGTGAGGTGAGCCAGGGACAGAAAGTCGCTCGTGTGATCCTCAAGAGAGCGTTCCACCTGCTCCAGCAGGAGGATTTGGAAGGCGGGGGAATCCATAACACGAAAAATAAAAACTGACAAAAACCGGAAAAACAAACGAGGGGAAAGACGACGCTATACTTTACTCAGGGTCGGTTATTCTGTCACGGTCAAGGTGTGTGGAGGTGTAACGGAGTTAAAAAGAACATTAATTCTAATGATATTCATGGTGTTGAATTACATAAAATTAGAGGGTAAATTAAATGAAACAGTGTATTGGTGTCCCCTGGTGGTTAATGCGTTGCAGACATTCATTATTTTGTCCTTGCGCGCCTACCGTAGTTCAGCAGAAAATGGCTGACACTGCTGCGGGTAAGCGTGTTACTCTTCTCTCCTGTTTAAAAAGTGATATAAGTGTGTTTAATATGAGTTTTTCACATGTAAACGTTTGTAGTGATTATATCAACAAATGTACAGCGAGTTGGATGGGTTTATATGTCCGATAGAAACTTTGTTGAGTACTTATCGTTGTGCCTCGTGTCTCATGCGGTGAAATTAACATGCTGCTGCTGATGCAGCAGATGGCTAAATGGAAAACACAGTTACCCTTAATGAGAGTGTGTTTGTTTATTTTATGTTTTTCTTATTTCAGTGGTTTATGTCTGCAGTGTTTTCACCCTGTGTAATAATACATTTTGATGTATTCCACTGCATAACTGATAAGTTGTGTTTCGAATGCTTCTCGCCTGGACATGCAAAACGTGACTGTCCAAAACTTTCCACTGTACGGGATGATATGGAGGGAAACTAGGGGACCCGTATTTGGAGGGAGGCAGTACGGGTCATTCTTGCAACTCCCAAGTTGTTACTGAGTGTGAAGATGAATGCTATTTGATTGAGAACAGTGTTGATGAACTAAATATTGTGTATCAGAACACGCATGTTGTGGGGGGACATGATAGCCTTTTTTATACACCTGTGAAAATAGGAGAAAAAGTGACATTGGGAGCCATGATGGATAGCGGATCCTAAGTCTGTTTACAATCTGACCATGGAAGTTTATGGCTTGAAAATTATTGTACGTACTCTAGTGGTTCCTGGCCAACATGACGAACTCATAATTGGAACTAATGTCATCAAACATATCCTGTGACATATCAAGCAATGTGAGGGTTTCTGGAGAGCTGTGTCTGGCCCTACATCAAAGGATCCTGAATGTGAGAGCTTTTTGTCCATGCTCGCTGGACTAAATCGCTGGAGAGGTGGAGACATGTCTGACAAACTTGGAACAGTAAGATGCAATTCAGCTGTCTGTCTTGAGCCTGGTTGTGAATACTTGGTGTGGGGGAGACTATCGAGATCAGCTGTTGCATCACCAGGCAGTGCTGTCATGACAGAGCCCACCACTTCTCATTCGATTCCAAGACTTGTCACATCGTTGTGGAGTGACGGATGGGTCCCTTTGAAGGTGATCAGTACGTCAGGGAGACTTGTGCTGCTGAGACGTAATGCAAAACTGGCAGATCTATATCCTTGCATTGCCCTCGAGGATGTTGATAACATGGATACAATAATGATTTTGGCATGGATAATCTTACTGTTGCAAGCTCGGATGTCTCTGCTGTCTTGACTTCTCATGTGGAGTGGAAACTTGGTGCTGAGACACGGGCTATGGCAGTCGTGGATCACCTGCCTCAGTTGGTTCCTACGGGCCAGGACACATTGCCAGCATTTTCTGTGGAGGACCTGCGTGACAAGCAGATGAATGACAGAGTGTTGTCAAGAGTCATGTCTTACATTGAGAGTCGCCAGAGACCCACAAGAACGGAAAGAGCTGGAGAATCAGCAGCGGTGCTTCGTTACCTCAAACACTGGGAGAAATTGATTGTGAGGAATGGTGTTCTCTACAGGGTGTCTCATAACCAATCATCAAGGATGAAACGCTTCCAGTATGTTGTCCCAGACTCGTTGGTGGATGCAATTCTGAGACGTGTTCATGATGACAGTGGCCATCAAGGTCAATTCAGGAGTGTTAGTTTGGCAAAGCAGCGTTTCTTCTGGCTAAACATGGAGCATAGAGTACGTGATTATGTGCGCCACTGTCAACGCTGCATCATAAGTAAAAGTCCTGACCCTTCCAGCAGAGCTCCTTTGGAGAACATAAAGTCTACAAGACCACTAGAGCTGGTCTGTATTGATTTTTGGTCAGCAGAAGATGCTAAGAATAAATCCATCGACATCTTAGTTGTGACCGACCATTTTACAAGACTAGCTCAGGCTTTTGTGTGCCGAGACCAATCCTCCAAGCAAGTTGCCAGGGTCCTGTGGGACAGATATTTTTGTATCTATGGCCTACCGGAACGCATCCACAGTGACCAAGGTGCAAGTTTTGAGAGTTGGCTCTTCTCTTCCTTCTCTTCCTTTCAGTCTTGGATGATCAGAATGTGATCAGCTACGACAAATTTGTTGACACACTTGTTAAAGATCTAAAAGAGGCCATGATGATTGCACAACAGCATGCCACAAAGGAACAGAAGAGACATGCAGCTCTGTATAACCGTCGAGTGAAGGGGCTCACCATCGATGTGGGTGACCAAGTGTTGTTGGCGAATAAGACTGAGAGGGGAAAAAGAAAAATTGCTGACCGGTGGGAGTCTACTGTCTACACTGTGGTTGACTGCAAGCCTCAAACTCACACTTACAGAATTCGGAACCCTGCCACAGGTCAAGAGATGGTGGTTCATCGCAATCTCCTGTTGCTGGTTGACTTCCTGCCTTTGCCTGAAGAGATATCTGTGGATTGTCTGGTTTTCCTTGTAATTGACCCCCATAGTAACATGCCTTCAAGTTCATCAAGCCAGAAAGACTGCTCGGTGATGTTGAGTGAAGCCTTGCCTAGACACATGAATGATGACATTGCCTGTGAGACAGTTCCTCTGACCAGTCATTTGGATGGCGATACTGACAGAACATTGAGTTGGGTTACTCATTTGCATGATGAGAGTCCAGAATCTACTTCAACTGTAGTCTCAGGTGATGTTATAGTTAACCGGACACCACAAGCTGCTCCAGCAACGTCTTTTGGAAGTATATCTGTGAAGTCAGATGAAGTAATAGCTGATGTGACTGTCACTGAAGATGAATGCCGTTCAGATTCAAGAAGCATAGAATCTGCAAGCACTGTTATGTCTGCTCGAGCACACTCACAGTCCTCCGGTGTGACTCTGACTACTTTTACACCAGTTGACACTAGTTCCACCAGAGAGATCAGATCTCGCTTTGGCCATGTCATCAAGCCAGTTGACAGATTAATTAAAACGATGTCAGGCCAGGCTGTGATTCAGGATGCAAAGCGTAATGTTGAGGCTGTTTGTAAATCTATGTTTCGAGCTTTTGCTAATTAGGAAAGTAAATCTACTTTTATGGAACATTTGAAAAAGCTTTCTTCTTTCCTAGTTTGTCTGGACTGGTTTAAGGTCCTTGGTTCATGTTCAAATAATATACCTGAGGATGGAAAGTATCTTTAGTTGACTGTTGAGGGGGCCTCTTTATTTACCCAATTATTATGTATTTCGTTTGTTCATTTCCTTTATTGGCGTATTCTGAGAATACGAGATTGTGGACGAATATTGTGGGATGTATGTGGACATTCTGCTGTTGATTGTTGATATGGGAGCTTAGCGCTACTCTCTTATCAATTCATCCTTATGGGATAATTTTCAAATTGATCGTCCTTTTATGGGAGGTTCTTCTTTAATGTGAAATGCTTATTATATGTGACTGTTTTGGTTTTTGTACCTTTGGTGATGCCTAAGTTTCATGTACTTCTGTGGGGGTGAATGTAACAGAGTTAAAAAGAACATTAATTCTAATGATATTCATGGTGTTGAATTACATGAAATTAGAGGGTAAATTAAATGAAACAGTGTTTTGGTGCCCCCTGGTGGTTAATGCGTTGCAGACATTCATTATTTTGTCCTTGCGCGCCTACCGTAGTTCAGCAGAAAATGGCTGACACTGCTGCGGGTAAGCGTGTTACTCTTCTCTCCTGTTTAAAAAGTGATATAAGTGTGTTTAATA